GTACTTCATTGATCTGCCTGTTCTGCTCCCCACTCTGTCCCTGGTGAATCCTCTCACCCTCCGCATCTCTGGCCTGTACACCAGTTCTGTATGAATAAATAAATAAATCTTTAAAAAAAAAAAAGAAGTTATACCATTCTGTATATAATGTAATTCTGAGTACACACACACACACACATATTCAGCAGAATATTAAATCATATATTTTGGTTATCTCTGGATTGAGGAATTATGTGGGCTTTGTGCATATCTTTATGTGTGTTTAGTCTTCTTAAAATCTGAAATCAACATTTTGTAATAATAGAGAAAACTTGTATCACATAAAATAGACAATTTTTCAGACTCAGACAGGATCCAGGAATGAATTTTGTCATGTGTAAATAGTTACCTGTGCTTCTTGGATTGTTGTAAGCCCGACAGATAATACACACTCATTGTATTTTTCCCCCCTGAGTTTGGGTTATTTTCTTTCATACTTTCTTGACAACATTACTCAGGATTTAGAAAGTTTTTTCTCTGTAGGTTGTTGTACTGATAACTTCTGTAAGAACAGTCTATGAGATCTGTCTCACTGCAGTATGCAGCCACTGATATCTCTACATAGTATTTTATTTTAATTTTATATTTACATTTTTTATTATATTAGTTTATTTTTACATCATTTTGTGCCTTTTCCATCTCAGTTGCAATCCCCATGGTCTCCCATCATCACCACATGTGCCATCACCATAGTCCCGTGTACCCCCTCTTCTTTGATCCCACTGTACCCCCATAAAATGGCTCTGGTATATAGTTGTTCATTATTATTATTCTCCCCCCTACCCCCAAACACCTGATCCTTTTGCTCCTGCTATGAGTGAAACCATCTGGTATTTTTCTTTTACTTTCTGACTTATTTCACTAATAAAGCATGATCCCTTCCAGCTCTATCCATGTTGCTGCAGAAAGGCATTAGTTTATCTTTTTTGATCACTGAGTAATACTTCATTGTGAATATATTCCATGTTTTTTCTATTGTAAATAAAGCAGCAATAAGTACAGGGGTTCAGGTGTCTTTTTGCATCAGTGTGTTTGTGTTTTTTGGGTAGATACCTAGGAGTGGGATTGCTGGGTCATGTGTAGGCTCCATTTTTAGTAGTTTGAGAAGCCTCCAAACAGTTTTCCATAGTGGTTGTACTAGTTTGCATTCCCACCAGCAGTGCAGGAGAGTTCCTTTTTCTCCTCACCAACATTTGTTGTTGCTAGTTGTTTGAAGATGTGCCATTCTCACAGGTGTGAAGTGGTATTTCACTGTGGTTTTAATTTGCATATCTTTGTGATCAATCCTTTATATAGTTAGTGTTGTGTGAGAAAATTTTTTCCCAATCAGTGGGATGTCTGTTAGTTTTTTGTAATGTCTCTTTTGCTGTACAAGTAGCTCTTTAACTTGATATGTAGTCCCATCTGTTTATTCTTTCCTTCACTGTCATTGTGCTGGATGTTAATTTTTAACCTTAACTTAGTAGGACTCACCCGAATATGCAAGCCCGTGGTGAGCTAGTGGTTGAACACATAGTGTGCTGTATGTAATACCTTGCATGGTAAGACTTTCATTTCTCCCTGTGTATCTCTGCCATTTGAGCCTTTCCAACATCTGTCCCAGCTCTTACTTTTCACTTATGTACTTCCTCATCTTCTCCCATACAGAGCGTTGGCCAAGAAAGTGGATAGTTTGCACCTTTCGTCTGTTCTAATGTGTGCTGCCTCAGATCAGAATGTGGATGTTGCAACTTCAGGCTAGTAGAGCTTTCGGCAGTCCTACTTTTGCTTATCACAGATGATCACTTATACGAAAATTGTCATTTATATTTATTGACAGCACTGAGTGTAGTCATTATACAACTTCTCTAAATCATGTGTCTTTTTAATGGTGAGTCCAAAGTGGCCAGTTCTCTCAGTCTGCCAAATCATCTGAATTGGGAGAGGGGAAAGGAGTACCAGACAGGAATGGCACAGACTTACATTACCCAAAGTTTAATGTTCTCAGATTATGTATAAGCCTTTTACTGATTTGCAGAGCGCTAAAATAGTATTTTTAATCATTTTGTCCAACTGTATGTTTGTTTTTTTTGGATAGAGGATTTGTTGACCTATTGGTAACAGAATTCCAAGGATTATATTTAACATCTATCTTACACCTCTACCTCTGTCTTCTTGTTCCATATTATGTCTTGGTTCCAAAGGATTTAGTGTATGAAAGACTTGAAATTAGAAATCTAGCAATTAATTAGATTGATCCACAGGTCTTAGAATAGCAATCTCAATACTATCACTGTATGTCTGATTACTGAAAGTGTATGCACTTTCTTTTTGCTGTATTCTCCCACCCTCTTAAATGGTTGTCTTTATTTACATTGTCAGAACATACAGACATTACACGTAACTGCTAGCCTTTCTGGTTCTCATGGGCGGAGGTTATTGTATTCTTTTATTACCATTCTGATAGCAGATGACCAGTAAGTACATAAATTTTAGTGAAACAAACCTCATAAAACAGAATAGCTACGGCTTTAGTTTTTTTTTTAAAGACCTACTTTACATTAGTATATTATTTCATAAACTTTTATACTTTCCATTTAATTGGTTATGAATATATTGAGCTTAGGTATTTTTAAAAAGACGTCTTTAAAATATACAAAAATTGATTAAAAATAATCTTTTTGAAAAGTTCTCCCATCCAATGCTACATGGGAATTTTCCTCTTCTAGGGAGGACTGTGCTGAAGAAATAGGGGTTAAGAATTTATGCACTAGGGCCTCCCTGGTGGTGCAAAGGGTTACGTCTCAGCAGTATAAAGCTATCAGCAGCCATTGCAGCATGACTTTGATCCGTCTCAGCAGTATAAAGCTATCAGCAGCCATTGCAGCATGACTTTGATCCCTGGCCAAGGAGGTAACCTACATGGTGCAGCAGACCTTTACTGACCTGTCCACTGCTGCCCTTAGCAGCATATTTCAGTCAATCTGCCTGTTCTCCCCACTCTGTCTGGTGAATCCTCTGACCACCCCCTCCTCCAACACACCTTTGGCTCACACCCCAGTTCTTGTATACATAAATAAATGAAACTAAATCTTAAAAAAACAAAAAAGATAACAAATTTATATATGGTAAATAACAAGGTATTTAAGTAACCTGGCAGGTTATTAGCAGGTTACTTAGTAGACCTCTTGGTCTTCCTGCTTTGCCTGTCACAGAGATTGATCCTTACACCAAAATTGTCCTCTGGCCTATACCCCAGTTCTTATATGCATAAATAAATAAATCTTTAAAAAATAAATTAAAAAAAATTGTCACTTACACTAATGATACCACTGGGTGTGGTCATTATCCAACTTCTCTAAATCATTTATCTTTTTTGTGACTTTGATTGATACTTTGAATGATAGATCCCTTTAGAAGTTAACATTGACTCTAGGAGAAAAAACAAACAGTTTTTCTGGGGCTGGCAGTTTTAAACTGAGCACCATTTTGGGATAGGAAATAATGTTTTTTTGGAACCCTTCCAGTGACTCCTTTGAGTTCAGGGCTTTTTGTTGAATTGAATACTATATATGTGGCTTCTGTATTTAAAAGGAGGGGGGTTCATTTTTTTTTTTTTAAGAATTATTTATTCATTCATACAGAGCTGGGTTATAGGCCATAGGCAGTGAAAGGATTCATTAGAGACAAAGTGGGGAGCACTCTGTGATGAAATACTCTGTTGAGGGGATCAGCGGGTGGGTCAGGAGAGGTCTGCCATGCCATGTGGGTCACCTCAGGGTGGGGGGATAGAACTTGCACTGAAGCAGCTGCAGCTTGCTTCAGTGAGGCTCGCTTGCAGTGTTGCACTTTAATCCACTGCGCCACCAGGGAGGGCCAAAAAGGTGGGTTTCTTACTTCTTTTCTATGACCACTAGGTTGAATCAGCAAAGCCATAACTTAGCTAACTTTGGAAACATAGTTGAGGTTCTTAGTGAAACCCTACCCTCTGCCAGAACTTTCTTTACCTTCACTAACTTGGAGTGCTTAAATAGACTTTTGTGTGAATGCGGTCATTGTTGTGAGTAGTCATTCCACTGCACTTTCTAGCTTTTTGTAATATCTTCTTTTGAATCTCAAGATGGTAGTCTTTGCCAGTGACAAAGGGGTGAATATGAATATGGCTTAGCTATGATTGAAGTGGAATTTGAATTCATCTCTCTTAATTCCTAGGTTAGCACTTTTTGAATTCTATTTCACAGACTCTGATTCAGGATCTGTTCTTAAATCTTTGAATTTTAGGACTGTTTTGCCAGCCACTGATTTTCTCATTCATAAAATGAGTGTTCAGTTAGATTGCCTCATGCTTTCTTAGTGATAGGATCAGTATCACTGTGTACAGTAAGATCATTCTCATAAAGTTGTTTTTAAGATTTTTTAATTTACTTATGCATAGAGAACTGGGGTACAGGCCAGAGGTACAGGGTGTGTGAGGATTCAACAGACACAGAGTGGGGAGCAGAACAGGCAGGTTGATGAAGTGTACTGCTGAGGGGAGCAGCAGGCGAGGCAGAAGTCTGCCATGCCGTGTAGGTCACCTCCCTAGCCAGGGATTGAATTAAGTGAAGTGGTTGTGGCTAGCTTTGTAGTGCTGCCCTTTAACCTATTGTGCCACCAGGGAGGGATCAGTATCACTGTGTACTTTTTTTTTTTTTTAACCAAGAGATTTTTATTATATAATCTGGGCACATACAGATATGCCAGGTTTGTCATCAGTAACCCTTGTTATTTTTCACTTTACAGTTTTACATGTGTCACTCATAAAAGATGAGGCTGAGAACACGGAAAACTTCTCAGCAGTCAAATCAAGTCCAAACACAACGCACTGCCAGAGCGAAGAGGAAATATTCAGAGGTTGATGATAGTCTACCTTCAGGAGGCGAAAAACCACCCAAGAATGAAACCGGCTTATTGTCTTCAATTAAAAAATTCATTAAAGGAAGCACACCCAAGGTAATGGTTTCACCTTATACTTAAATATCATTAAAAGTGAAGTTTAGGTTGTTTTCCTTAATCTTGTAAAGATCAGAAGTACAATATTGCTGAGCATACTTCTACAAAATGCCTATATTTTCTATTGTTTTAGGATACTATCATGGAGAATACTAAATGACTGTTCAAGAAAAGATTGTTTACTCCACTGAGTGTTTTGTTTTGGCAGCAGGGAGTAAAAGAATATTGCCCTATTCCTTCTTTTACAAAAGTTGGTTTCTTATTAATACTGTTTGTACTTCATCCAGTCAGGGAAATGACTGCTTTCTCAGTTTGAATTCTAACATTTGTATAGTGCAGTTGTAGTATTTCCTAAAGAGTAAACAAAGAATGAACACTAACCAGTGGTTTAAGCTCCAGATTCATACTCTGGACCAACTTGAATGACCTGAGGAAAGTCATTTATCCTGCTGAGCCTCAGGAAGACAGTAGGATAGGGTAGTACAGTCTACTTGATCTGTCTTAGAGTTGTTTTCTAAATTCAAGTGCAGAGAGAGCTGTTAAAGAAACCTTAATAATGCATTCTATAAATAGCAATGTTATTGTATGTAGATTTTATCACTGTTTATAAATTGTCTTTTTAGTAATTATATATAAGAAAAAATCCACTGTAATGGATTTTCATGAGTAGAAAATTATTTCACTGTAATACCATTTTCATGAGTAGAAAAATTACTGTGCTGGCCCTTCCTGGTGGCGCAATAAATTAAAGTGCAGCATTGCAAGCTGGCTGCAGCCGTTTAATTGTGAGTTCGATTTCCCGGCCAGGGAACTGATCCACTTGGCTCAGCAGACCTCTTCTGTCTCACTCGCTGCTCCCCTCAGTGGTGTGCTTCATCAGTCAGCCTGTTCTGCTCCTCACTCCTTGTCTGGTAAATCCTCTCACCGCTCCTGAACTGGGGTACTCTAGCCTCTGTGTGCATAAATAAATCTTAAAAAAAATAAATCACTGTGCTGACTTAAGTCATAATGGTAAATTTTGTTTTCATGAAATTAGCAAAGTGTAGTTACTAGGAGCCATTGGCTAGGATTTAGGGGTATTCTGCAAAATTGTAAAGATTTTTTTAGTTAATTTATATAAATGTAGAAATACTTAAGGATTACTATATAACACGGGCCAAGTTCCTTCCAGAAACATGTATTTCTGAATCCCTAAATTTCTAATGAATTGTTAGCAGCTTCTATTGATTGGGATGTTACTGTTCATCAGCTTGTTCTCTGAACAACTCTAAAGTTCTTTGTATGTGGAAAAATATATCTACCTTTTGCTTTCTCTGTTTTGTTTGTGCAAATGCAAATCCTAAGTTGCTATCTAGATTAAATATTTTTTTAGTTTCCATTATGTGACAGTATATGATATAGATCACCATCTTCATCACCTCTTTCTGTTTTTCATGAAAGATAATTTTTCAGAAATGAAGCTATTTTCCTCCTTGTTTTCTACTTCTGTTCATACTTATCTCCTTAGATTTGAGCATTCTCCTATTAATGTGGCACATAATCTTTAGTCTTCCTTAGAAAAAGTGGCCTAATAAAACTAGCAACTCAATGTACATTCTTTTTTTCCTTAAGACAGTTGTGGAAGCACAAGTTTTGCAGCAGAATTGTTTTATGTATACTTTCCATCTTGCCATACAGAACATTAACATATATTTACAGGTTCGGATTTAATTACAACTTCATCAAGCACATTCTTAAATAGATTGGCTCACCCCCAGCCCCAGAAAGTGCATGGTAATGAAGAAAATAATAACTAGTGGCTGTCAGTGCCTGGATTTAGGCTAAGGTCATATTAATTACATCCACCATTGTTTTTTGCAAATCTCAACATAAGCTATCCCATGATAAACTTTGAGATGCACAAAAAAATAAGCTCAACAATTGTTTTTATTACCTTGAAGTCATACTAAACATATTTGATGATTAGTTGATGTAACTACCAAAGCAGTCAACATAGCAAGATCAGCCGCATCTGTGAGGCAGAAAAGTACGACAGTAAAGACTAATTATTAACTCATTTTCTGCATTTGTGAATGTTTTAATTCAGTGAATTCAATTTATCATTGAAAAGTGGAAATGCCTGCTGCTTTTATTCACCAAACTTATAACATTATCTGTTGTTCAAGAATTTATTTTTATAGGTCTTATACTTTGTAAACTTTTCAGTGTAATATGATACCTTATTTATTTTTACAGCATACTGAGAGAATGATAGCTTAATCTTTAAGATACTTCATTGGCTTTTTTTTAAGTGAGGAGTTGTTGGCTTTTAAAAAACTTATGTATACAATAAAATATTAAATTCCTTTTTAAAAAATAACTGATCTCAAAACAGTTGCTGAGTGCACAACTATATTGGTGATTTAATTGTACTTAGATGTGTTCCATTACATAGGAAACAATAAGATGTAATATTTATGCAAAGGGAAAATGGGTGTGCAATAGAGTCATTTCTAATTTAAAATTTCATCTTAGTTTTTGGACTAGATTTCTCCCTTAGTGAGTCAGAATTCTGGTGTCATTTTCTTTTCATCACTGTGGCAACTGATGAAAATCATAAGACTTACAGTCTTTTTAATCCAGTGATTCAAACCATTCATTGTTCATAGAGGTAGTTACAATTTTCTTTTTAACTACTAGTTTTAGATAAAATTTTAAAAGGTAAATAATATTATTGCACAGCAAAACATCAAAACTACTCATAGTGTTTCCCCCTATAACAAAGGTACAGAGATAACAGGTGCAACTCTGTATAGTTACTGAGTACATAAGTAGTGAACAGAAAGGTCTTTTATATTTCATAACATTCACCTTAGTGGTTTTAATTTCTTACTATAGAGTTAAAATTCCATCTGTAGTTATTTTATGCTTTAGCAGCTACATTTACTATTTCTTATACAGACCCTGTAGAAATAGTAGTTTGTTTTCTTCCTCAAAGTGGTTTTAGGTAATTTAGAAGAAACTTTTCTACATCTGACCAATTTTCTAACAGTTTTAGATTTATATGTTCTGAGCCTATAGCCATTGCATACTGTTTTAATCCTTATTTGTTTTAGTTAATAAGATTCTACCTGTGTTTGTATGGTTAGAGCTTTTTCTCCATCCTCATGTCTGTAATCATTTTTGTTGTCTGATGCTCATTTTTTAGTAGATGCCATAGAAGGTGCTCATGGAAATAATATCCTATAGTCTTACATATATTTTAAAAGATTTATTTATTTATGCATACAAGAGCTGGGGTGTAGGCCAGAGGTATGGAGGGTGGTGTGAGAAGATTCACCAGAGACAGATTGGGGAGCAGAACAGGCAGATCAACTGAAATATACTGCTCAGGGGAGCAATGGGTGATATAGGAGAGGTCTGCTGCACCATGTGGATTAGCTCCCTGACTGGGGATTGAAATCTTGCTGCAGTGGCTTTGAATAGCTCCATAGTGCTAAGACTTAACCCCTTGCACCACTAGGAAGGCCTATCCTGTATTTTTCTCGTGCCCTTTATGCTTGAGCATCAGTTTTGCTGTTATTTTCTTTATCAAGGGAATTGATTTTACCTTGTTCTTCAAAGGATATTTTCTTAAAATGTGTCTTTGTATTTGTGTTTTGGAGTTGATTGTTTTAAACTGTGTTATGTCAACATGCAATTTCTAATATTTGATTTGAGGGGGAAAATTTTTTTAGATTTATTTATTTATGCATATAGAACTGGGGTACAGGTCAGAGGTTCAGGGTCGGTGAGAGGATTCACTAGAGACAGAGCTGGGGAGCAGAACAGGCACATTGGTGAAGTACACTGCTGAGGGGAGCAGCCGGAGAGACAGGAGTGGTCTGTTTTGCCAATGTGGAGGTGTCCTATGGATCACATCTGGGGCAGGGAATCGAACTCATTGAAGTGACTGTGTGGGGTAGCCTGTTGTGCCACCAAGGAGGGCTTTAGGGAAAATTTCTAATCTTGTTTTGCTGCCATTTGCTCTGGTTTCCTTTTTCGGGGACTATTGTCTTTCTCTTGGATCTTTTTTTGTCTTTTTTTTTTGGTCTAATAGTTGTCACAATTTGATTTCTTAATTTTCCCCCTTTTACTTCTGTTTCTCTTAATGTTGGAGTCTAATCTGTACTGTTCACTTTTTTTTTTTTTTAAAGATTTATTTATTTGTGTATACAGAACTGGGGTACAGGCCAGAGGCTCAGGGGCGGTGAGAGGCTCCACCAGAGACAGAGTGGGGAACAAAACAGGCACATCACGGAGGGGAGCAAGGGCGGGTCAGGAGAGGTCTGCCACACCGTGTGGTCACCTCCCGGGGCAGGCCGGAATAGAACTCATGCAGAAGCGGCTTTAGGTTCTCTGTGCTGTGCTTTAACCCGCTGCACCACCAGGGAGGGCCCTGTACTGTTCACTTTTATATACATTCTAGTTATCTTTATTTCTGAAATGATTTCTTGTTTTGTTTCTAATTATTTTGTTCTCTTTTCATTCTAACTTTCTAGCTCATAGGTCTCATCATGTTCTTAATGATGTCTTTTGAAATGTTACAATTCTCCACGTGTTTTCTGAAATGCTTTATCTGTAGAGATGTTATTTTATTCTTTGTGTTTTATTATTACAATTTTGTGTGGATTTGACATGTATACTTGATACTTGTATTTATGTGCAAGTAGTTTTTTCGTTTTGTTTTAAAGGTTTTTTTAAAGATTTATTTATTTATGCATACAGAGCTGGGGTACAGGCCAGAGGGGGTGAGAGAATTCACCAGAGACAGATCAGGAAGCAGAACAGGCAGATCTATGAAGTACACTGCTGAGGGGAGCAGCAGGTGGGTCAGGGGAGGTCTGCCATGCCATGTGGGTCACCTCCGGGGAGGGAATCGAACTCATGCTGAAGTGGCTTTAGCTTCTTAGTGCTGTGCTTTAACCTGCTGTGCCACCAGGGAGGTCCCGAGAGTAGTTTTTAAATGTTTTAGAAAGTTGCGTGTTCCTTTATTAACTAGTTTTGTTGTTTTGTGTGGCATTCAATGATACATTGATTGCTTTTTGAATTTTCCTGTCCTTACCCTATGTGTATCTGAAACTTTTTTTTCTCTTCTCTGTTCTTATCTTTCCTGGTCAGATTTTATTCCCATCCATCAGATTCTTCTCAGTGTGAGCCTGGTTGTAGTGGTAGCCATACTTGTTCAATTTTAAGAGTTCAAGGAACTAATTCCTTGTTTAGCAAAGGATCTCTTTGCTATTGGGTTTGGGCAGCAACTTCTCTCTCCTATTTCATCTGTCCTTAAATTGACCTCCTGTGCTTTCAATTGAATACTAACCTCTCAGCTATTTTGGGCTTCTGTTCTGAGATGTGTCACACACCTTGTTGTGTCCTCTTCCTTCTGCATTGGTACATAAGTGCATTCAGGTGTTATGGCTCATTCGTTTGGAGTTTGGGGGCTGTGTGAGACTAATTTATCCTAGAGTTTTTTTTGCCTCTTTAGTTTTAATTTGGGAGTCATTGAATTAAGAAAACTCAAGAAACCACCTTCCTGAGATTTCCCCTTTGGAAATAATATTGAAAAATACAAATATTAGCAAAGATAATGTAGGCTTATTAACATAACCAGGACAGGGCCCTCCCTGGTGGTGCAGCAGTTAATGCATAGTACTATGAAGCTCTACACAGCCACTGCAGCATGAGTTCGATTCCCTGCTAGGGAGCTGTCCTCCATGGTGTGGCAGACCTCTCCTGACCCTGTCTGCTGCTCCTTTTAGCAGTATACTTCACTTGATCTGCCTATTCTGTTCCCCACTGCCTCTGGTGAATCCTCATACCTCTGGCCTGTGCTCCAGCTCTTGTATGCATGCATGCATAAATAAATAAATAAACAAATAAATAATCTTTAATAAATAAAACAACCAGTGCAGCAATATAGATTTTTTTTCTTTTTTTTAAGATTTATTTATTCATATGGAACTGGGGTACAGGCCAGAGATGCAGAGGATGAGAGGATTCACCAGAGACAGTGGGGAGTAGAACAGGCAGATAGACGAAGTGCACTGCTGAGGAGAGCAGCGGGCGGGTCAGGAGAGGTCTGCCTCACCATGTGGACTCCTCCGGGGCAGGCGGGAATTGAACTCTTGCGGAAGTGGCTTAATCTTCGTAGTGCAGTGCTTTAACCCTCTGCGCCACCAGGGAGGGCCAGATTTTTTTTTTCTTTTTAAAGAAGTTATTTATGCAAACAACATCTGGGGTACAGGCCAGAGGTGTGGGAGTAGGATGGTGAGAGGATTCACCAGAGACAGTAGGAAGCACAACAGGCAGATTGAAATGCATTGTTGAGGGGAGTAGTGGTCAAGATCAGTGGTCTGCTTAAGATGTGGGTTAGCTCCCTGGCAAGGGTTCATATTCATGCTTCAGTGGCTGCTCATAGCTCCATAATGTTGACTTTACTCCTTGTGCCACTAGGGAGGCCCCAAATTTTTTTCTTAGTTCCTCTTCTAAAAGTCATACTATAGGGTACTTTCTCCCTGCACCTCTGGCTTGCACCCCAGATTTTATATTCATGAATAAAGAAATCTTAAAAAAAATCATACTATGTCCAACAATATTGGGTAAGAAAGACTAGAATTGGGTGATGAATTACTTTTCAAAATAGACTCATCATTATGGGGACCGGACCCTTCCTGGTGGTTACAATGGGTTAAAGCACTGTGATGCCATCAGAACCAGCGCTGCCAGAGAGGTCACCTGCTTGGCAAAGCAGACCTCTCATGACACGCCCACTGCTCTTTTCAGCAGTGTGTTTCAGTGGCTCCTCCTGTTCTGTTCCCTGCTCTGTCTCTGGTGAATCCTCTCACCACCCTGCACCTCTGGCCTGCACCCCAGTTCTGTGTGCATAAATAAATCTTTAAAAAAATATTATGGGGACTAACCTAAGAAGAGAAAGAATACATTGTACAAAAATGAGCAATGATATAAAATATATAAAGAAATTAATTAAAAAATCTTATCAGACATTTAAATGTGTTCTGGAGAATTTTATTTATGTAGCATCTTATTGTCAAAAACTGCAGAATTTAATTAAGCCCTGATTCTCCTAATTTTATCTTCCTCTTTAGAGATGTAAGCTAAAGTATTTAAATGTAGTGTTGGTGCTTATAACGTTGGCATTAGAGGTACTGGACACCCCAGTCAGAAATCTAACTTTTAATTTCCCTCAAGCTTGACGTCATGCTGTTTGATTGAAAGCCTTGCTGATAACTTAATCAGTAAGTTTACATGTATTTCATATATAGACCTATATATATAATATATGGACATATCTATATATAATATATAATATATATATTATAGTATATTCTTACAGTAAAGTCAGCTAGAGAAAACAAAATATTAAAATAAGAAAAACTGGGCCCCCCCCCGGTGGTGTAGCGGGTTGTAGCACTGTACCAAGAAGCTAAAGCCACTTCAGCATGAGTTCGATCCCCGCCCTGGAGGTGACCCACATGGCAGACTTCTCCTGACCTGCCTGCTACTCCCCTCAGCAGTGTACTTCTTCAATCTGCCTGTTTCTGTATGCATAAATAAATAAATCTTTAAAAAAAGAGAGAGAAACTGCATCTGTAGTACTGAGAAGTTGTCTGTTTACAAGAAAATCTGCATATAGTGGACCCATGTAATTCAAACCTGTGTTAATCATGCATCGACTGCATTCTAAGTTGATCATTCTCATTTTGTTCTGCTGTAGTATGTGGTAACTCCACAATCAGTTTACTTATTCACTGTCTATAAATAGAGGAATAGTGGCAGTATAATAACATGTGTGGCATTTGATTTATATGTGATTTTTCCTAAATTGTACATGGAAATCTGAATAATGGTACTTGAATTTTATACTTCATCAGAAAGTAAAAAGATTTCAGTTGAACTGTTTCAGGCTCCCCCTTATGTCCCTCCCCAACCTCTCCTCCACAATTTTTAGAATTGATAACTTACAATTAAGAGTATGACACCAGAGAATACCCTGGTCCAGCAGGAATTCTCATTAGCAGTTTGCATTTCTTCTGTGTCCATCCTAAGCAACCCTACTGACTTAAAGCACCACATTTCAAGTCTTGTTTTACTTCTTTGTTTATAATACCTTTTATTTGGTACTGAGGTAGCATTCTATTGATGCCTGGCTATGGCATCTATTATATTATACTTGGATGTCCCAGTCATTGTTTTTGATAGTGATGGTTATAGAATTATGGAGACATAACTAATGTGCTCTGCTACTCTTTTTGGGGCCCTTGGATGCTGTAACTTTGTGGCATTACTTCTGTTCTTGAAAGACTTTTTTTTTTTAAAAGATTAATTTATTTATTCATACAGAACTGGGGTACAGGCCAGAGATGCAGAGGGTGAGAGGATTTATCAGAGACAGAGTCGGGTGCAGAACAGGCAGTTCGACGAAGTACATTGCCGAGGGGAGCAGCGGGCGGGTCAGGAGAGGTCTGCCAGGCCATGTGGTCACCTCTGAGGTGGGGATCAAACTAATGTGGAAGTGGTTTAAGCTTCTTTGTGCTGTGCTTTAATCCGCTGTGCCACCAGGGAGGGCCAAGACTTTTTTTTTTAATAAAGAGAATTATATATCCCCCGGTAATGGTGAATTCATTTGGAGGATACAACATTTGCTGTTCATCATTTTAAAATGTTGGGGAAATGATTAACAGTAAAAATTTGAGGAATTTTATTATCAATTAATACAGCATTGTTCTGTGCTAGGCCTTTTTGGAGGAATCACAAAATTAGAGAAACTGCTCAGTAATGTAAACTTTTGCATTGAATATTTGTTGTATCACTTTTTTCCTATTTTTTCTAAATTGAAAATTTAATTTTGATCATTTATAACAGGATTTGTTTTTAAAAATTTCAGAGGTAGCAAAGCAATATTCAGTCTTTAGAAAATGCATAGGAGCATATATTTGCTTTTGGTATAAAAGCATCAAATAAAAAAATAGTTACTCCTGTTGAATAGGAATGTTAATTATATATAAAATGTGTAAAATAAGTATTATAAATTCAGAAATCTTAACAATGATTTCAGGCAGTCTCATTAAAATAGCAGGGAACTATACCAGCATTACTGTAATGTGGGAAAATCATACTTGTAGCAGATGACTTCAGAAAAATTTTGCAAATGAGAACAGCTATAGAGAAACATTAATCAAGTAGTACTTGCAGTTTACTGTATTGATCATTAATACTGAAAAACTATTATAAACTGGTTCATGTATATTTGACCTATATACAGAAAACACATTACGTTGTGAAGGAGTAGACTCCTTCACAACGTAATGTGTGGATACAGAAAAAATTGGAGTTGGCATTGAAAGTATGTCAATTTTGGCCCTATTATTTTGTAGCATGTTTGGTATTATGTGATATGCCATCAAATTCCAGTGGTATTCTCTTCCATATCCTACAGCTCAGGAAAACAACCTCTGTTGGACATTTTTAAGGATAAAGCGAAACTGCTAAATATTTCAGTATTTTGTTAATATGTAAACTTGAATAGACCTAAGGGGAAGGACTTGAATTGTGAGAATTTTTAATTGTATCTGTGTATTGTAATTCCATAAATGCATACTGCGTATAACACAATCATTTTTTCTCCCTGTGTTTTCTACTGCTACTGGATATCTTAGGTTTATTTAGTTGGATATTAATTTTACTTAGTTTCTCCTAAGTGTGAAAATCAGGGAAGTATAGCATATGTTATAATTTATAGAAGTGTAACCTATAAGGTAGAGTGACTACTCAGTGCCTGTTCTTTCCTCTTATTATCTTTTAAGGAAGAAAGAGAAAATCCTTCGAAACGGAGTAGAATTGAACGTGATATAGACAATAATTTGATCACATCAACACCAAGAGTAGGAGAAAAACCTAACAAACAGATCTCTCGAGTAAGACGGAAAAGTCAAGTAAATGGAGGTTTGTTAACATTTAGATACTGTTTTATAAATTTTGAGTAAAGAGCTCACCTCAGTTTCTTAAAAATTGAGCCATTTCTTGTTTTTGTATTTTCCTTTTTATTCAATATTAGTAGCAGGAAGTGAAATAAAAATTTGCCTTTCTAATATAAATCTACTTTGAATAAAAATGACAAGGTAAAGTAACTCGCTTTTTATGTTGTTAGCATGAAAATGTATATGGATCTAATTTTTTTTTACCTCTGATCCATATCTTAAGCAGTAATAATTGCAACTTGATTTAATGAAAATTTGTACAAAGAATTTGTTTCTGGATCATGGAATTTCAGAGCTGAAAGGATCTTAACTACCTTAGCCCAATAGTTCTCAATTAAGAGTGGTTTTGTACTCTAGAGGACATTTTCAACATAATACATTCAAGGGGCATGTGCGAGAGGGGCCTCACTCCTAACGGATAGAGTTTAGGAATGCTGCTAAGCATCCCACACTGCATAGGGCTGCCGACAACAAATAATTATGTCCCAAATGTCAATAGTATCGATATTGATAAACTCTGTTGTATTAGGTCAAAACCTTTATTATATTTTGAGATGCTTCTAAATCAAAAATAGAAAAACAAGGACAAGCAGAGAAATGTATAAGGAATAATACTTAGAGCATAGAGACTATCTTTCAACCTGTCTTAAACACAACATCAGTAATAATTCCTTACCTATCTTAAACACAACATCAGTAATAATCCCTTACCTCTTTCTTAATGCATTAATGTATCTATACCTCTGAGAATTTGTCATTAGGGATAAAAAGTTTTTGATTAAAAAAATGTTAAAAGATTTGTAGCAAAGAAGGAAAGAAATGTGGTAGATAATAAGTAAAGTTTGTGGTAGATCAAAGAGTGGTTAATCAGAACAGTGGAATGAATTTATTTTGATTTTGATTTTTTTTTATTAAAAAGTTTATTTTTACATCATTTTGCACATTTTTTTTTTCCATCTCAATTGTAATCCCCGCGGGTTTCCCATCACCAAATCACCCCTGTGCCACCACCATAGTCCCGTGTGATTTTGATTTTTTAAAAAAAATTTAGAATAATTTTTACTCACAAGACACTTAAAAAAAATACTACTTATTATTCTTCCTAAACACTCTGAAATGTTATCCTGATCTACATAAATAACTTTATAAATTGCTATCCATAGTCTTCTGCTTTAATAGAGCAACATTACCTCTTTATTTTGCTGTTAGTCATTAGAAATAGGTGTCAGAATAGGTTTTTTGAAGTGTGCAGCATCCTGAAATATAAATAGACAAAATGTGGCATTTTTGTTTTTTCATATTTTAACTTTGTAACTAAAGCAACCAAGAATGAATTTCACTTTCTGTGTATGCATAATATATGATTCTAGATGAAATTACTTGGAAAAAACTCAGTAAAATTTTAGCATTCATGAGGCATTATAAAGGAATTTATAAGATCCTTTGATTTACAGTGTTTTACCTCAGGGTCTTTAACACATTTTCTTAATGTTAATAAGTTTTCTTAAAGTATTTTGAAGGAAAAAGTTATTTTTATAATTAAATTTAGGACATGTTTCTTGAAAACCATGTATTCTAGATAACATTTTCCTTTTTGGTTTCTTAGAAGCTGGTAGTTATGAAATGACGAATCAACATGTAAAACAAAATGGAAAATTAGAAGATAATCCTTCCTCTGGCAGTCCTCCAAGGACTACATTGTTGGGGACTATATTTTCTCCTGTTTTCAACTTTTTTTCACCAGCAAATAAAAATGGTAAGTATAAACCACTAGTCATAATTTGGGTTAAAAAACTCATAGGGGGCCCTTCCCTGGTGGGTTAAAGCGTAGCACTGCAAGTGAGCTGCAGCCTCTTAAGGGCGAGTTCCATCCCCAACCCCAGAGGTGACCCACATGGCGTGGCAGACCTCTCCTAATCCGTCTGCTGCTCCCCTCAGCAGTGTACTTCATTATTCTGCCTGTTCTGCCCCCTAGTTTGTCTCTGGTGAGTCCTCTCACCGCCCCTACACCTCTCGCCTGTATCTCGGTTCTGAATGCATAAATAAGTATATCTTAAAAACAAAACAAAACTTATAGGGGGCTCTCCCTAGTGGCACAATGAGTTAAAGCACAGTGCTGTGAGGCTGTCTGCAACCACAGCACCTCAAGTTCGATTCCCAGCCGGGGGCGTGACCCACACATAGACCTCTCCTGACACCCCTTCCCACAAAGCTCCCCTCAGCATTGTATATCAGTCAGTCTGCCTGTTCTGCTCCCCACTCTGTCTCTGGTGAATCTTTTCAACCCTGTACTTTTGGCCTGTACCCCAGTTCTTGTATGCATAAATACGTAAAACTTAAAAAAAGAAAACTAATAGGTATTCTAGTTTGTTTATGATCTGATTGATTTTGCTGACTTGTTTTGGCAGTGTCTTATGTTTATATTCAGCTTCATTAAAAATAAAAACTCTGAAAAGCTTTTTTATGGAGGAGGGGGACTGAAGTAAATAATGGGTTTTGATTAATTCTACTGAATGAATCATCTTGATAAAGGTTGGGCTCGAGGAAGTTTTTTTCCTTTTCTTTGTTGGTATGACTTCTGTAATTCTTAGTGTGTGTACAGGAGAGAAGCCAGAAATATTTTCAGTATTCTTAATTAATAAAATGGAGCTTGTTGAATATTTAAAGTGAAATGAAATGAATTTTTTCTTCCTTTGTAACACTTTCTCTTTGTTGTTACTTACTTGATCCTCCTCCCCCCACTTTCAGTTTGGACAAATATTAAAATTACTAATTCAGAGGAATTGAAGATCAAAACTGACTTTCTTACTATGTACTTTATTAAATTTTCAGCCAGTGTTCTATCTAAAGATTAATTTCTAATTTCATATGTAATAATTTTTTTAAAGATTTACTTATGCCTATAAGAACTGGGGTATAGGCCAGAGATTGGTGGTCGTAGTGAGAGTATTCACTAGAGATAGAGAGAGGAGCAGAACAGGCAGATCTATTGAAATACACTGCGGAGGGAAGCAGCAGTTGAGACAGGCGAGATCTGACATGCCAAGTTGGTTACCTCCCTAGCCAGGGATTGAACTTGTGCTGTAGCGGCTGCGGATAGCTTCATAGTACTGCATCTCAACCCCTTGTCACCAGGGAGGCCCCTTATAAATAATATTTATTCTCAGTTATTTGAGAGCAAGAGATCATATATTGCACCTGCCATGACTTTGATAAAGTATTGGGTACATTGAAAACAACCATTGAGTGCTTACGGTATGATTACTTAAATTCTTGTTTTTTGTTTTTTAAATATTTATTTATGTATGTATGTATACAGAAATGGGTACAACCACAGGTGCAGGGGCAGTGAGAGGATTCACCGGAGACAGAGTGGGGAACAGAACATGCAGATCAATCAAGTATACTGCTGAGGGGAGTAACAGAGAGACAGGAGAGGTCTGCTGCGCCATGTGGGTCAGCTCTGGGGTGGGGATCGAACGCGCACTTAAGTGGGTGTATGGCTTGGCTTAGCTTCGCAGTGCAACGCTTCAATCCGCTGCACCACCAGGGAGGGCCAAATTCTTGTTTTAAGTATGTGTCTGGATGATAGTACAATTCTTAAAAGGTACAATGGTGCACTGTCAAATCAAATCTGTTTGGGGTAAGAGTAATGCATAGCAGCATATAAAAGGAATGTGAGGCAAAACAAAATTACTTAGCTTAGTTTAACATAGTATTTCCTAGACATTACCAAAAATCCTTTTTTGTGGAACATTTGTTTATATCATCTTTTATTTATATATATATATTTATTTGTATATAACATCTTTTGGAAATGCAGTGAAAGAGTGGACTATCAATTTGAGGAGTGATTTGAAGATTTCTGTTCATTTAGAAAATAACATTGATTTACTGTTTTCCAAATACTATGTTAGCCCCTGAAGACTCAAGGATTATATACATGGTCCCAGCTCTCAAAGTCTTCTGCTTCAATGAAGTGTAATAATTTTTTATGAATGTGTTGATAAATTTATGATGCAGGCAGTATTCAAAGAATATCATGGCCCTGTTCTGGGTGGCAGCCTAGAGATGACTGTTGGGAAAGTGAATCTTGAAAGTTGATAAAGGCCATTCTAGGCAGACAAAGGCATGAGCAATGATGTAGTGTGTTTGAAAGTCCAGATTAGTGTGTTACGTATAGAGTATTTGACTGGAGGAATACACAGGATGTGATAAGAACCAAGAGAGATTTTATGTCCAGAAGCCAAAGGAAGGGAGAACTTAACACTGGGGTCAAATAGTTATAAAGATAGAAGGAAATGAACATTGAAAAGACACTATCAAACCTGACATTTTTGAAGTCATTAGTTTCTTTTGTGAGAACAGATTCAGAGGAATAGTTGGAGTTGGAAGCTTAATAACTTTGAGATGAGTGAGTAAAGTGCAAAGTAAGAAAAGAGGCAGCAAATGTGAATTGCCATTACAAGTCTGAAAAACTGGAAAAGGTACAGAATCTCAAGGGATAGTTTATATTCATGATTCAAGCATGTTTTAAGTGCCAGGGAAGGCTCTAATAGGAATGGTTGAAATAATGGGAAAGGATTCTATAGTTTAGTACAGTTCAAGAGAACAGGTAGAAAGGTTAGAATGAAACAGTGAGAAAAGAGTCTTATTCTGTTGCTGAAAGAAACTGCGGGTGTATGTAGGAATAGATGTTTGGGCAGAAGTTGTTGGCTTTTTTTTTTCTTTAAGAGAGAGGGACTCATGCTGAGATTCTGGCAGGGATTGAAGAGAATGGTGAAGGTTTAGAACATTTGAAACATAGAAACTAAGACAAAACACTGCTGAGTAGCATGCCAACCTAAGGTTAGAAATTAGAAGTTGTATTTAGAGTATAACTAAATATTTCCTTAGTAGTCTTAGATTGTTTTCTGTGATGGATGACAATAGAAAGGGAAGAGACCAAGGATAGTGAGGCTAGTTTCACACTTGTTTAAGCGATAATACCACATGAAATGGGTGGAAATGTATTGGGATTTGAGGAATGTATTTGGGAAACAAACTGGATTTGCGACATATATTTGGAAAACAGAAACTGACAAACTTGAAGATAACATGTCTGTGAATAT